CCGATGCCAGACAGTCCAGTTTCTCCCCGTATGAGTCTGGGTCCCCAGAGACTCGCCCGGAACTGTAGTTCAGAGCAGTCGGGAGCTTGAGACTCCCTCCTGATTAAAAAAGACAACTTTAGCTGACGAGGTGGCCGAGTGGTTAAGGCGATGGACCGCTAAAAAAGACAACTTTGTCCTCAGTTGCCAGCCCTTTCCACGTGCGCCTCCATACCTCTACACTTTACTTCCACACCTCCTCTGAGTCTCAGTGTGCTTTTCTCTTTCCTTCTAGTTGTAGAATTTCCACTCAGCCAGCCTTCCTGTGCTTCTTGATGATGTCCGTTTTGTCTTTTAGTTGTATTTTTGAAGTGGTTGTGTGAAGCAGCAATTTCTGGTGTTTACCTATGCCACCATCTTGGTTTCTCCCCATCCATCTCTATCTTGTAGTCACTCAACACCACACAACAAAAAGGCAAAAATGGGGGAAATGATGTACATCTTTAAGAATTAAATGGAAATAAGTGTTAGCTAGCATTTTAGACTTAAAGAGCTTTCCTGATATTTTCAGCACCCTCCATCCACTGTAAAACCAGGAAGGAGAAGGCATCATTGCATGGGATAATTCATGGCAATGATTACTAAGAACCACCAGTGGTTTAGATTTACCAAGTTCTTTTAAAAAAAATTTTTTAGACATAGAAAGTTCTTTTATTTACAGTTTCTCAGCTCTTCCATCTTCCATTAAACCCCTCGCATCTTCTTTCCCATTTAAAGGAGCCTACTATGCCCGCCTACTGTGGCTCAGTGGTTGAGCATTGACCCATGAACCAAGAGGTCCCTGGTTCAATTCCTGGTCAGGGCACACTCCTGAGTTGCGGGTTTGATCCTCAGTAGGGGTCATGCAGGAGGCAGCCAATAAAAGTATTTTTAGTTCTCTATCCCTCTATCTTCCTTACTCTCTCTCAAATAATAAAAACATATTTTAAGATAAATGTTTTAAAAAGAAGTCTAGTATACTCCCAGGAAGTCCTGTATATCTTTCACCTGTTCACTCATCTTCCACAAGCAATGGTTTCACTTTTGAATCTTCTATCCCCTTTCCCTTTCTCAGCAAATATTTGTACCATATATTCCACAGAGAAAATCTGAGTCATTGGGATGACTCTGTGAACTGCACCCTCTCAACCACGCATACATTAGCATGCACCTTCTCCACATTGCCATATCATTCACATTATTTCCCCTTCTCTCTGAAGACAAATTTCACCTTCATTTTGAATCCTGACATTGTTGCCTTATCAATTATTCTTACACTATTGTTCACACATTCTCTCTCCTCCCTCTTTGTCTTTCTCCCACCCTTATCCCCTTCATTCTTCCCTCACCTTCTCAAAAGCATTCTTCCCAATGCTGTAGCAACATGTTTGATTTTTTTCCATCTTACAAACATGTACCACTTGGTCTACCATTTTCTTCTAGCTACCAGCCAAGAGTTGATTTTTCTCTGTCTCCGTTTCATTGCCTTAAATTCATTCCCTCAATTCATAGATTTTGGCTTCTTTCCCCCATCATTCCACTAAAGCAAATATCTCTTAGGTTTATAATGATCTCTGTGCCCCTAAAATCCTTCCAGAAACTTTTTATACTATTTATCACTCTCTCTAATGAAACAATCCATTCTTATCCTATCTAGAATCTACTTAAATGCCCCTCCTCCATGTCTTTCTCCATTATATCTCCACCATTAGCTTTTCTCTCTTTGTTTCTGTTATAGCTTTAACCAATGGATTGAGTCCAGAACAATTTAAATTCTCATTAAATTCTTTCTTCCTAGGCGATAGAATTCATTCCTTAGATTCAGTCACCATATAGATGCAAAAGATGGCCACATACGTTTCTCTAGCTCTGAGAACTAGAGGAGTATTTCCAGTTACTTGACATCTTTGATATTACCAAGGCACCTTAAACTCAGCCTTCCAATTTACGACTCACCATCTTCACCCTAATCCCATCCTTTTCCATGTGTTTTTCTCTCTCTGAATGGCACTACATCTATTCCGTGGCACAAGTTTGAAACCTGAATGTCACTCCACAGTTACCTTTCCCACTAAAACCTATCAATTATACAGTCCTATTGTTCTTTTCTTCTCAGTATCTGCCAGATGGCTGTCTCCATCACCCCCTCCTGAGCCAGGCTGCCATCTTCACGTCTGAACCACTGCAATTCCCTTCTGACTGACTACCTCTTCCTACTCTTGTCACCTTCCAATGCGTCTATACACAGAAGTCAGAGGGATCCTTTCAAAACACAAATGAAATCATGCCACTCCTGTGTTACACCTGTTACATGAACTTTCTCTTGTGTTCAGTTCTGAATAATTTCCTGAAGTACAGTATTTATAAACTTTTCTTGTTGAATTTTGGGGTGATATTGGTTTAAAAAAACAGACATGTTTCAAGTGTACAACCAATAAAACATCATCTGCACACTGCATCGTGTGCTCACCGCCCAAAGCAAATTCTCTTTGCATCCATTTATCCCCCCTTTGCCCACCTCCACCTCTCCCCACCCACCTTTTACTCTTGCTACCACCATACTTTGCCCATGTTTATATGTCATATGTATATATTTTTGCTTAATCTCTTCACCTTTTTTCACCCAGCTCCTCAAAACCCCTCCCATCTGACAGCTGTCAGTCTCTTCTATGTATCTATGCTTCTGTTTCTATTTTGCTAAATTATTTTGTTCATCAGATTCCACATATAAGTGAATTCATGTGGTATTTGTCTTTCTCTGACTGGCCTATTTCACTTTGCATAATAATCTCCAGGTCATTCATGCTGTGGTAAAGAATAGGATTTCCTTCTTTTTTATAGCCACATAGTATTCCATTGTGTAAATGTACCAACAGCTTTTTTATCCACTCATCTACTGATGGACACTTCGGCTGCTTCCAAATCTTGGCTATTGTAAATAATGCTGCAATGAACATAGGGGTGCACATATTTTTTGAATTAGTGTTTTGGGTTTCTTTAGATATGTTCCCAGAAGTGGAATCTCTGGGTCATAAGGTAGTTCCATTTTTAATTTTTTTAAAAATTTTTTCTAATACTTACCCAAAGATATGCTTAGAGAGAAGGGAAGGGAGAGACAGGTGTGAGGGCAAAACACCGATTAGCTGCCTCTCGCACTCTTTCTAACTAGGGATAGAACCCACAACGCAGGTGCCCTAACTGGGAATCAAACCCACAACCTTTCAGTGTCTGGGACAATGCTTCAACCAACTGAGCCACACTTGGCCAGGGCCCATTTTTAATTTTTTGAGGAAACTCCTTACTGTTTTCTATAGCAGCTGCACCATTTGTTCTTCATTTGCTCTGTGCTAAAGTGGGGAAAGGTCAATGGGCAGTGAGTGTGTGCTGGTCCAATCCAACCCCTTTGTTCTCAGTGACCCCCAACTTGTGGCACCTTCCCATTAGTGCCCATTCTCAGGTGTGACAAAACCCAGTCCCTCAGGCAGACCCTCAAAATGTTAGAATGTTGGCGGTACAATTCAGTCATCTCCTGTGGCAACATGGTGCCATGAATTTTCCTACTGGCTTCAATGCAGCTGGTGTCATACTCAATTGGGTGCAGGAGCCTCTCAAGCGATCTCTGGATTTTTCACAAAGGAAACGGATTCATGTATTGTTCGTAAATTGATGTGTCCATGAGGGGAAGGAAGTCTGAAACTTCCTATTCTGCCATCTTGCTGACATTACCCTAATCTCCCTTCTTTGAGTAAGGACACAAGTCATGTTGGGTTAGAGCTCCCCCTAAAGTCCTTATTTTAATTTAAAACCTCTTTTAAAAACTGTCTAAGTAGAGTCATGTTCTGAGGTCCTGGAGGTTAGGATTTCAACATATGAATTTTTAGGGGATATAATTCAACCAATAACAATGCTATAACATGAATGACATTACCCTAATCTCCCTTCTTTGAGTAAGGACACAAGTCATATTGGGTTAGAGCTCACCCTAGTGTCCTTATTTTAATTTAAAACCTCTTTTAAAACACTTTGTCTAAGTAGAGTCATGTTCTGAGGCCCTGGAGGTTAGGATTTCAACATATGAATTTTTAGGGGATATAATTCAACCAATAACAATGTTATAACATGAATGACGCTCTAAAACATTAGGCTAAGTAAAAAAAAAAATTCAGATATAATAGGTTATATATTGGACAATTCTATTTATATGAAATATCTAGTATGGGTAAATCTGTGGAGACAGACAGTAGATTGGTTGTTGCCAGGAGCTTGGAGACAGTGATGGGAAATTACTACCTAATGAACATGGAGTCTTCTTTGAGGTGATGAAAATGTTTTAGAACTAGATAGAGGGGATGAGTGCATATAGCAAATGTACTAAATGCCACTGAATCAGACACTTTAAAATGATTTAATTTATGTTATGTGAATTTTATATATTACATAAGTTTGTAAATTTGATATTAAGTGAAAGTGTGTTTGTGTGCTTATGTGTGTATAAAGAGATAAAACAATGTGACAAAAGAATAATTGGTTAAAGGTACATGAATGTTTCTTCAAATTTTCCAGAGAAAAACATGAGAAAAGACTTGAATATTTATTTATTTACTTATTTATTAGCCATTTCCATCATTTTAGTTTTATCTCTTCCCCAGGTAAAAGATGATGGATTCACAGCAGAAAAGAGAAAATTAAGTCAATTCTAAGAAAACTAAAGGTGATTGATTAAAGAAAAACAGGTAAAATCATGTGATTTTGGTCCTTTTCTGTCTGACTTATTTCACTTATTTCCTAATACTCTCAGAATTGATGTTTCAAATGGCAATATTTGATCTTTTCTATGACTGAATAGTAATCCATTGCATATATGTACCATATCTTCTTTATTAATTCATCCATCAATGGACACATAGGTTGTTTACATATCTTGACTATTGTAATTAGTACTGCAATGAACATAGGGGTATACATATCTTTTTTAATTTGTTTTTTATATTCTTCAGATAGATACTCAGAAGAAAAATTGCTAAATTATATTGAATTATATATAATGGTAACATGACGACATATAATGTTGTTAACCAATGCTACCTCAATAAGGAAGAAAGAAAGGAAGGAAGGAAGTTGGAAGGAAGGAAGACAGGGAGGAAGGAAGGAAGGAAGGAAGGAAGGAAGGAAGGAAGGAAGGAAGGAAGGAAGGAAGGAAGGAAGGAAGATATGGATATATTCCACAGACTATCTCCCTGGTTAAATTTTTCTCAGTAGAATGAAGTTTTTTGTTTTGTTTTGTTTTTGTTTTGGTGATAATGTCTAAACTTTTCAAAATGTGAGTATCTCTCAATATAATATTTTCTGGCTCATGATTACACAGGAAAAGTTTATATCTTGAGCTAAATACATGATTTCAAATAAAACAATGTATAGAAAAAGTGCCCCAAGTGAAAAAAAAAAAAGGAAAGTGTATGTCTCAGATATTGCTGGTGCTAAGAGGTCATCATAACACCACACTCAATGTCAGTCATTCCTTCCTATTGTGGGCTCGTCCTGAACTTGTTTCCTCGGGACCTTCTACATTTTACCAAAAGCAAAAGTTATTTTCTACAATGAGTCAGTCCTCCAAAAGTTGAGGGAGTAAAAAGAAAATCTTGGAAATGTAAGCAATGGAGTGGAAATATGACATCTTACCAAACGATTGTTAACAACTATGTTCATTTGGCAGTCAATAGGAAGCAATGTTATAAGTATTTTATATCCTAACATGATATTTTATTACTGAAACATAAATCTTTAATTGGTTTTGGTTATATTTCAAGAAATTGGTGAAGATATATAATACAATCTTTCCCATTTAAAATAATGGACTATAGGGTCAAAATGGACAGTTTTGTGTGCATCTGCTTTTTAGGAATAACTGATATTAAGCAGTAGGTACCTGAATTAAGAAAATGTTAGTGTGGGTAGTATATGAAAATGGCAAAAATATGAAGGTGTATGCAAAGAATTAATAATTGAGGCACGTATCTAGAGTACTAACAATTTCTTTGTCATCTTTTTCTCTTACCCTGTTCTTTAGGACAACATGACTCAGTTACAAATAACTTTAATCGTGGCTTGTTCATCTGTTCATCCATCCATCTTTGAAGCAAGTCAACATGCCAGGTGTGAGAATCACCACGGCCCACTTCTCCATATCTTAATTTTTCTTTCCAAATTTCTGCCTGCTGCAGCTTTTCCTGTGCAATAAACATTGCTTTGTCCATGTGCCTTGGCTATCAGTTACACAAAAATGAATATAGCAGGTTCCTTGCCATCAGGGCGCTCATAGTCCATGGCAGTGTTACTCAAAATGTGGTGCATGAACTGGTATTGACCCTTGAGGAAAAAAGAACCTTGGGATAGACTAAATCAACAACATCACTAAGCTTTAGTTCAACTGACATTTATTCCATAACAAGATTTTATCAATAAAGGAAGCAGTGTGTTGTGTAACTTTCTGCTGCAAGCTCCTGCTCTCCATGTAGACTGTCACCACTGCTGAGTACTGGTCTAGAGTCTTCTTGCCAAATAGATTTCATGACAAATGTCAAAACCAATAGATAAGGTCTAGCTGTATGGTGTGCTGATTTGAGAAGCTCTATCCAAGCTCAGAAGTAGAAAGCAATGAGATTGATTACTAATTTCTGCCATGGGCTTGGAACTAGAGAGCGGTGGCATGGTACAAGGAATTTGCTGATAGTTACCTATTATAGGTCAGGTCCTTAACATATGTCACTTTTATTATTGCTTCCACCCTGGTTCCACCGTATTGCCACCTATCATACTCAGCTTTAACCTGAACATCACTATTGTTAACTCACTCTACCTTAGCCTTGCCTGTGACTTTCTGCAGTGGGCTACTACTGTTCAGGGTAGCCTGGCTCTCTGGTCTCTGCCCTGGCCATGAACACACAATGAACTCATGGGCACTAGAATAATTTTTTACTAGACCATTGCATCATCTCCTGAGTCTTGGAGGCCCCTCAAGAATGGAGTTTAAAGAAAAAATGACCTGCCCTAGCTGGTTTTGCTCAGTGGATAGAGCGTTGCCCTGCTGACTGAAAGGTCCCAGGTTCAATTCCAGTCAAGGGCACATGCCTGGGTTGTGGCCTCAATCCCCAGTAGGGGACATGCAGGAGACAGTTGATCAATGATTCTCTCTCATCATTGATGTTTCTCTCTCTCCCTCTCCCTTCCTCTCTGAAATCAATAAAAATATTTTTTTTTTACAAAAGAAGAAATGTCCTGACCCAGGGAAGCTGCCCCTGCTCTCCCACCACCATCACTGTCTCATTATTTAACTCAGAATAAGTCTCCTGGACATCAGAATTGGTGGGGAGGGGTGAGGCATAGGATGCATTTGCTGTCATGGATTCCCACCTCTCTTCCTCTTGATTATATCTAAACAGAAAGACTTGGACATCTATCACATTAAGTTATCCACATCAATGCTTCCCATTCTTCTTGTGGTTGAGAGATGAGTACATGTTTTTCCACAGTCTTCCAGGGACAACGCAACTACCAAGGGCTTTAGGCTTCCACTATAACTAATTTTCTCTCTAGCAGAAATAAGACCCAGAGGGGTTTCTGATGCAACAGCTCTCCCTGGAGCCTCTGTCTCCAGATAATGACATCTCTCTCTGCATAGACAAAGGCAGCACTGGTTAAGTCCATAAGGATAGAATCCAGGGAGGTTTGATTAGAGTCTATCTGGGAATAAGGGTGGTTGACATGCTCATGGGGTGTTGAGAAAGGTCCCTCACTCTGCACACAGACCCTGGTGAGTGGGAGGGTGAGAACTTGAAATCTAGCTTGTGGGAATCTTGGGAGTCCAGGCATGATTTAGACATTAGACCTTAGTGGAAGGATTGCTGATGCTGTTTTCCACAGACATGATGGGTTGGGTGTATACAGGTAGATAGAAAGACGGACTTTTGTCTACTTCTTTGATATTTGCAACTTACAAATGGATGTCTTGTTATGCTGAATGCTTATTCCTTCCATACCTGTCTTCATTGCTATAAACCCAAGAAAGTCAGGCCTCTAGACAGCAGGAAGTGATCTATGTTGATATGTTAAAGGTCAACTCATGCTGACTTTCCATAAAAGCTGTTGGAAGCAGTTGAGCATGGGCACCTGACAAAAACAACGTATCTGGAATGGTTTGGGGTCTTCCCCAGCTCACCTTCTGAGGACAGGCCATCCTCCCCTCACTTCTACCCCCCAGAGGAGTTCTCAGTTCTGAACTCCTGGGCAGAAGAGCTGATCATTAACTTCAAGAAACATGCAACATTCAGAGTTAAGAATGCTCAGGATTTGGAATCAGATGGGGCTTTGAATTATAGCCTGCCCTCTTAGTGGGTGTATGACTTTAGATTAGTCACATACCCTCTCTCAGTCCATTTATCAATAACATTAGTTACAACAACAAAAAATTGTTTCCTTGCAGGATGTCTTCATTCCGCACAGTTTATTGAGCAAGCTCTGCTGTGGATTTTTGAGTGGGGATAATCGGATGTGAGCATTAAATAGTCAATGACAGTGTCAAGCAAATTGCTATTTGCTTAACTAGGTGATCAAGTGTCCAGATCATGCCTGCTCATAGTAGAGAGATGTAAAATTTTATTGTCTACAAGAAGGTAAGTAATGCTGGTGCCTTTCCCCTGGTCACTTAGCATCACCAGAGGGACCCTAGACCCAAATTTTGACATCACTCAGGTTAATGGGGAAAGGAAGAGGTGAAACCACAACTTGGAAACTTGCTGAAGGGGCTCCTCGTCAACCCACATGAGAAGTCTTGATTTAAGAGTCACAGTGAGAGGATCCAGCCCAGATTAAAGTGAGTCATGGCTAGCTCTGACCAGCTCTGCCTGCCTGACTGACAGGGAAGAGGTTAGATGGCTGGAAATATTTTTCCCCCAAAAGGAGGGAAATAGTTTATTAAAAACTCAGGACACCAGGGGATCGCAGCCAGAATATATGGCCACAGGGGAACTGCTGGTGGAGAGATTACAAACACCCAGAGGCGTGCCTTTTTAAAAAGACAGATCAATAGCAGTGAGACCACCTGAGCACCCTGGAATGAAAGGTGAGTTTGGGGCATGCAGGACTGAATTACTGTGTGTGTGTGTGTGTGTGTGTGTGTGTGTGTGTGTGTGTGTGTGTAACAAATCCTGACATATCTCTTACAGTGTTTAAGGGGAGTGTGTTGAATGCAAAGGGAAAACAGGGACTTTGGAATCAGATCCCCCTCTTGTTCAAATCTTGGCTCTGTTACTTCCTTGCTGGGTGATGCTGGAAAAGTCACTGCACTTCTCTGAACCTCTGTCTTCTCATCCAAAAAAATACAGATAAATAATATATACAGGCAGTGTTTCTTTTTTATTGTGATAATAAAAATTTACCATCTTAATCACTTTTAAATGTACTGTTGATGCCATTAAGAGTATTCACATTATTACACAAACACTAAAGGCCTGATGCACGAAAGTGCAAGGGGCTTGGCCCTCACTGTTCCGGCTGCCTCGAGGCCCCAGCTGCCTCACAGCCCCGCCCACTGGTCATTCTGGAAGGTCGTTCCACCGACCAGTTAATTAGCATATTAACTCTTTATTATCCTATCTAATAATAGACAAACATGATAATTGACCATACCTTCGCTACACCTCCCATTGGCTAATCAGCGAGATATGCAAATTAAGCACCAACAAAGATGGCGGTTAATTTGCATACGTAGGCACAAAGCAGCAGAGTGAAGACTGAAGGTGGCTCCGGCTGGAGCAGCAAAGGCTTGAAGGCGGCTCCGGCCGGAGTGAAGGCCTGGGTCCCGGGTGCCGGAGGAAAACCGGTGCCGGCAGCCAGGGGAAGGGAAGGCCTATTGCACAAATCTTTTCGTGCAACAGGCCTCTAGTATAGGATAACCACCATCCACCTCCAGGACTTGAGGATTGACGTATTAAGCATGTGAAACACTCCATGCCTCCCACACAGTCAGCACTCATTTGGCATCAGCTCCTTTCAGGGTGAGGATATATGAATGGACAGAGCGAGATCAGATTCTTAAATAGCCCTTGATAGGAGTCTGCAGTAAAAGCTATTTTACCAGCAGGGAGACTTAGTGATTTGAAAATTGATTGGTTATAAGTTGGAAGAAAATTGTGAGGATTCGTTTGGGGTTTTGTTCCTATATGAAGACCAAAGAAATAAGTGAGATATTCCCGGGGTTTTTGCTGGGGCTGCGTTTACTACAATTTTAGAATAAACATCGGAAGAGGAATTGCTGAGTAAAGTCTCTGCAGATTACAGTTATCCTGTCTCTTTTTTTGAGGTTCTCAACTGGGGGGTGAGTCTAACCTCTCTGGGGGACATTTGACCAGATGTGGAGTAATTTTTGGTTTTCATGAGTAGGGAAAGAGGAGAATGCAACTGGCATTAAGTGGGTTGAGGTGAAGGATGCTGCTGAACTTCATACAAGACAGTTCCTCATAACAAAAAATTACCTGTCCCCAAGTAATGCTAAGATGGAAAACCCCTGTTGTAAACTAATGGTGTTGGGGGTGAATGAACTTTTAGAGACTCTGCTAAAGGATCACAGAGGACAGAGAAGGGGTATGTGGGTTTCTACCCAGGAAATACAAGGGCATCATAGAACAATATGAAAGAGAATGATCTAGACTGGGTCAGGTTTGGCCATAGAGGAGGCTATATTTTTTTTGTCTTTTTTAATTTAAATTCTTTATTGTTTAAAGTATTACATGAGCCTTCTTTCCCTCCTCCCCCACCATTGACCTCTCCCTGGTCGCTCCCACCCCTCAGCACATGCCCTCACCCCCCTACTGTCTGTGTCCATTGGTTATGCTCATATGCATGCATACAAGTCCTTTGGTTGATCTCTTTTTTTTATTTTGTTTTATTGCTTAAAGTATTACAAAGAGTATTACATATGTCTCCTTCCCCCCCCCCCTTGACATTCCCCCGGAGGAGGCCATAATATTGAACATAGTAATCTCCCATTATCCATGAGGGATATGTTCCTAGATCCCCCAGGGCATGCCTGAAACTGCAAATAGTGTCAAACCCTACATGTGTTGTTTTTCTCCTATATGCACATACTTTCACTTAAAGGAAACACATTACAACTTCTCTTTGGCATATCCAAATTGCCAGCACCACTACTCTTGCACTTTGGGTCCATTATTAGGTAAAATAAGTGTTACTTGAACAAAAGCGCTGTGATACCATGTCAGTGGATCTGATAACCAAGTCAGCTACTAAGGGATCAGTAGTGGGTAGCACTACAGTGTGGATACACTGGACAAAGGGATGATTCATGTCCCAGGCTGGATGAAACAGGGTGGCATGAGATTTATTCATGTTGCTCAGAATGATGTGCAATTTAAAACTTATTGTTTATTCATGAAAATTTTCATTTAATATTTTTGGGTCATGATTGACTGCAGGCAACTGAAGGTAAGGGTGGACTACTGCAATAACAATAGGAACCAACATTGATGACAATGTCCTATGTGCCTGGCACTGTGCTAAGCACTGATCATCCAGCCAGCGATATTTAATGCTTTCTCCTCAAGAGAATTAGTAATAATTTTATAATTATACAATTTATAAATATTATTTAATATATTTAATAATCATATGTATAATGATTTACTACTTATTAAGCACTTGACACATGACAGGCACTACTTAGCTCTTAACATTTATCCCTTCATCTAATCTTCACAACAATGCCTGTGACCCAAATTACTGCCACCCATTTTATCGATGAAGAAACTGAGGTTGAGTAGCTACCCAAGGTCATGTACTTAAGCTACCCAAGGTCATGTACAAAGTACTTAAGCTGGGATCCAAGCTCATTTTAATCTTACTCTTGGTTACACTCTCCTAACCATCAATCAGCCCATGTGCTACATTCCTTCTGCTTGGAACAATCTTCCCTCCTCCAGCTGCCTGGAAAACTCTTACTAGACCTTCAAAACGTAGCTACACTGTTGCCTCCTCTGTGAAACCTTTCCTGATTTGATCCCAGGCAGAGCTCCATCCCCTGGGTATCCAAGGCATTGTGCATGTGTCTCAATTACATTGCTGATCAGACTATTCTGAAGTGATGTGAACAATGCTCAGTTTCCCTCAAACTCTAAATTTTATAACCACAGGACTAAGTTATCTTACTCTCTTACGTCATTGACTGACTTTGGAAAATGCCAATAGGGCTGAACATTCCATTTTTTTAAAAATATACTTTATTGATTTTTTACAGAGAGGAAGGGAGAGAGATAGAGAGCCAGAAACATCGATGAGGGAGAAACATCGATCAGCTGCCTCCTGCACATCTCTCACTGGGGATGTGCCTGCAACCCAGGTACATGCCCTTGACCGGAATCGAACCTGGGACCCTTCAGTCCACAGGCCGACGCTCCATCCACTGAGCCAAACTGGCTCCGGCTCATTCCATTTTTGATTGGATTTCACTGTTAGAAAGTTCTTGGTTAGGGTGAACCACACAGCTGGTCTCACTAACATCCACCTCCCAGTAGCAGGAAGCAGTTGGTTCTACCACATCCCCATCCCTCTCACTGAAGCACTTCTGACACTGAGGGCATCTGTCATCTCTCCTAAGAGGCTTCCCTGACCATGGCCTTTGGTGTCCCCAGCCATTTCCTATAGAACATTCTACCCACTTCCCTTACTGTGCTTCCCTCTATCACTAGGTCTTGTCCATCTATCTCCTTGTTTGTCATTGGTACCCTGATGGAGACTGTAGGGTCCAGGGAAGTGGGGACCATGCCTGAGTGATTCAGCTTTGAATGTCTTATGCCCAGCTCAACATGTGACAAATTTTGTTGAATGCATGTGTGAATGGCAGGTTGGGGCTTGAATGTAACAGAAAAATCAGGTTGGTGTATAATTAAGCACTGCCTTGAAGGCCATCTGAGTGAGGATGGCAGCCTTAAGACAAAAAGCTTCAACAGAATCTACTTGCCTTTAAATGACCTGTCTTGCTGCCTCTTTACCTACCTGCACTTGGGAATAAACATTTCCCTGGTCCTGCAGTGTTCACTGTTGGAATTGTGTGCAGTGTATAGCATTCCAGGACAATCTGGGTTTACCTGGGTGCTTAGAGGTTGCCAAGAGAATTAAGTATTCCTGATTTAGGTATGAGGCTCCTTGTCCATGACCATCTTTCTTATCCAGTTGGCAATATTTATTAGAGACTCACAATCTCCCAGGCCTAGTGCCTTACTCTAGCCCTTGAAATTGAGTCAGGCTGCCCACATATTGCTACTCTCACATCCAATGCAACGAAGTCACCAATAATATGTGAGCTCATTGACAACTGTCCCACCCACCTGACCCCAGGCCATTGGACCCCCAACATGCTGTCACCCAAGTGTCTCTGTGGCTCAAACTCCCTAGATTTACACCTTCAATTTGACCCCAGTGCTGGCTCACAATACATTTCTCTTTGCTCTGGATTCTCATCCAGGTATTTGGGCCCAGGCCCATCTCCCTGTTTTCTGGCTTGGATTGTTGCTTTAGCTCCATCATCCCCTATTTCACCTCCCAGCCTTTTCGGAATCTCACCTCTGCTTTGGCTCCAGGACCACTGAGATGAGGAATGTTGAAATGTTCTACTGGGGCCATGTTACTGTCCTTGACTTGGACCTCAAAATCTGGACTACAAGAGTTAGTGGGAAGCTCTTGATTGGTGTGTGGCCAAGTATCTTATTCAGAGATGTGAGTTACTGCTCTCTCATTCCATGGCTATGACAAATATCATTAATTGATTGTGCCTTTCCTCCCTACTGATTATAGCTGCAACCTCAAAACTCTTCTCAAGAAGACACACTAAGCATCCACTACCAATTGATGGCCATTGGCAGGTGGGATGAAACTTATTTGCCATCCCACTCAGCCTTCTTTCCATTGGTCTCCTGCTCTTCCTGCAGCAAGGTTCTATTAGGTAAAAATGGGGGGCGTGAATCAGTCAGTGACCTCTGACTTCCTTCTGGTGGGCCTCTGCAGTCACTCAGGGTCATGTCCACTACTCTTCTCCCTGGTGGCTGCCATGTTTATTGTGGGCCTTCTGGGCAACACTGTTCTGCTCTTCCTGATCTGCATGGACCCCCGGCTCCACACACCCATGTACTTTCTGCTCAGTCAACTTTCCCTCTTTGATGTTGGTTTCCCCCTGGTCACCATCCCTAAGATGGCATCAGACTTCCTGCAGGTAGAAAGTTCCATCACCTTTGGGGGTTGTGCAGCTCAAATATTCTTCCTTACGCTTCTGGGTGTGGCTGAGGGCATCCTGTTGGCTCTCATGTCCTATGATCGCTATGTTGCCGTGTGCCACCCGCTGCGGTATCCTGTGCTTATGAGGCGCCAGGTGTGCCTGCTCATGGTGGGCTGCTCCTGGACGGCTGGTGTGCTCATCCAGACCTCCATCACTCTGCACTTTCCCTACTGTGTGGCAGGTATGCTCAACGCCTCCATCCAGACCTCCATCACTCTGCACTTTCCCTACTGTGCCTCCCACACCGTGGACCACTTCTTCTGTGAGGTGCCAGCCCTGCTACAGCTCTCCTGTGCAGACACCTCTGCCTATGAATTGGCGCTGTCCATCTCAGGAGTGCTGATCCTTATGCTTCCCCTTTCCCTCATCGCCATCTCCTATGGCCACGTGTTGAGAGCCGTTCTACGCATGCGCTCAGAGGAGGCCCGACACAAGGCTTTCACCACCTGCTCCTCTCATATCACAGTCGTGGGGCTATTTTATTGCGCAGCAGTGTTCATGTACATGGTACCAGGGGCCTACCATAGCCCACAGCAGGACAATGTGGCCTCCCTCTTCTACAGTGTTATCACCCCCATGCTTAACCCTCTCATCTACAGTCTGAGGAACCGGGAAGTCCGAATGGCTTTGGTCAAATTGATCAGCAGATCTGGGCTCAGGCCAAAGTGATGACCACACAGGGGGCTGCTGGTGTGATCTCAACAGTCTTGCATCCCATCCATCACCTCAAAGCACCCACTTGAGATGCAGCTGCTAAGACCTTATGTTAAAGGCTAAGTGTCCAGTTTCTTCTCATCCCATGACTAGCTGGGTTCATGTTTTCTCCCATGGGCTAGTGGAAATCAACAGTAGCAGCCCCAATCACTTTTAGTATATTTTTCCCCTAATTTTTAGTACTATTTATATGAATGCAAGGCCCTACTTTGTAAAGTTAAGATCTTCCTGCTAATGAATGTTTTCACCTTCCCAGACTGTCTTGATAAAACACAACAAACTGTGTGGCTTAAACAACAGAAATTTTCTTTCTCACAGTTGTGGAGGCTGGGATGCCTAAGATCAAGGTACTGGCTTTTTCTATTCCTGGTGAGGGCTCTCTTCCTGGCTTGTAGACAGCTGCCTTGCACTGTGTCCTCAAGTGGCAGAGAGAGTGCTCTGATGTCTCTTCCTCTTCTTATAAGTGTATTGGGCCTATGTGATTGGGGTCCTGCCATTATGATCTCATTTAACCTTTATCACCTCCACACAGGCTTTATCTCAAATACATTCACATTCGTGGTTAGGGTTTCAATATATGAATGTGGGTGTGACACAAATATTCAGTCCCTAACAGTGAATTATTATTATTATTAATAACAGTAATTATTAGTTATAATAAAGATATTTTTATAAATATTTTTATAAATATATAAATTATAATAATTATAAATACTAAGTAATTATAATAAGGGAATATTGGTAAATATAATTATATTAGTAAAATTAACATTTGTTGACTATTTGACAGTTGTCATTTTATCCTCTCAGCAGCTTTGTGATGGAGGAACTGTGATTTTTTATGTGTATGGGGGAAAAAATGAGTCTTTATAGAGAAAGAGTAACTCACCAATGGTTGCACATGGGGAAGTGGCAGAACTGGTAGCTGAACCCAGGGTTTTCTATTGGTAAAGACAGTTCTTTAAACAACTTTCCTTTATTCACTGTTGAGAAGATGACTGCAGTGGGTTGTTTGCATGTGTTGGATATTTGGACCAAGAAACATCAGTGACCATCAAATTCTGGATAATGTAGCCCTAGCTGGTTTGGCTCAGTGGACTGAAGGGTCTCAGGTTCAATTCCAGTCAAGGGCACATGCCTGGGTTGCAGGCTCGATCCCTAGTAGGAGGCGTGCAGGAGGCGGATGTTTCTATCTCTCCCTCTTCCTTCCTCTCTAAAATCAATAAAAATATATATATTTTTTAAAATTCGGGGTAATGTAAATGGTAATGGGGTCAAACTCCATGGTATATTAAAAACATGTTAAAACTGGGAGAGATATTAGATATCTATTCTCTATCAAGGACTGACTATTAAGACTTTTTATTTTAATCATTTCATTTTATTTTTCACTGAGGAATAATTGGGAATAACTGACGAACATAATTATATATATTAAAATTATAAAATGTGACAATTTTATATACATATACATGTGAATCAAGGTAATTAACACATCTATTATTTCAGTTAATTCTTTTTTTTTTTGTAGTGAGAATGCCTAAGATCTACTGTCAGCAAATTTCAAGTATACAATAACATTAACTACAGTCACCATGCTGTATATGAGATCCTCAGAATTTATTTTTCTTTAACTAAAAATTTATACCCTTTGACCTACATTACCCCATTTCTCCCATCCAGAGCAACCACCATTCTATTCTTTATTTCTATAAAATCAGCTTTTGTTTCCCCTAAAGATTCCACATTTAAGTGATACCATACAATATTTGCCCTCTGTCTGGCTTATTTCACTTAGCATAATGCTCTCTAGATTCATTCATGTTGTCATAAATTGCAGGATTTTCTTCATTTTATGGCTAATATTCTAATATATACATATACACAAATATACCACATTTTCTTCATTCATTCACCCACAGGCCATATAGGTTGTTTCCTAGTTATTGTGAATAATGCTGCAATAAACATGGATGTGCAGATACCTCATCAAGATACTAATTTCACTTCTGTCAAGGCCTATTGAATGATTTGGAGAGGCAGGGAGATTACAAGTTCGATTCCCGGTCAAGGCACATGCCCGAGTAATGGGCTCAATCCCCAGAGGGGGGCATGCAGGAGGCAGCCAATTGATGTTTCTCTAGCATTGGTGTTTCTATCTATCTCTCCCTCTCCGTTCCTCTCTGTGAAATCAATTTTATCAAATCACATGACTACACTCTAACCTAAAATTGACATATATCAAATTTATTACAACTATTTATTAATATGAAAAATAGAAAAAAAAAGGCTCCAATTCCCATCACCTCTAAAAAAGAACTTTGTCAGAGAAAAAGATACAATATGTGGACAAACAGGGGCCACATATTAAACCTGACAAGCTTAGGGGAAGCCTGCATGATGGCCTTACAAACTCAGAAACTGAAAGTAACCACATAGGATGGTCTGAAATTAAAACTTTCTAACTTGCCCGACCAGCATGGCTCAGTGGTTGAGCAGTGACCTATGAACCAGGAGGTCACAGTTTAATTTCCGATCAGGGCACATGCCCGGGTTGCGGGCTCAATCCCCAGTGGGGGATGTGCAGGAGGCAGCCAATGATTCTGTTTCATCATTGATGTTTCTATCCCTCTTGCCCTCTCCCTTCCTCTCTGAAATCAACAAAAATATATTTGAAAACAAACAAACAAAAAACCTTTCTAACTAAAAGCAGTAAGTACATGGTGGGTAGTCATGTTCTAGGCCAGTGTTTTTTCCTAACAAACGTCAATCTTTATCTTAACTGGGACTGTCTGTTGTCTTTTTGCATCTATCAGACCTGATAACAGTACCTTTGGAATATCAAAGTCATTTCTTTTTTTCTGAACCCCTCAAAGCACAACAGCTGAACCAGATCAGAGACCACAAATCCTCTCAATGTTATTATCATGTTAATTAACTATTTACTACCCTATACCCACCTATGTAAAAGAAATATGCTTCTTTTTATCTCATCCCACTGGCCACTAGGAAAATCCAAATACCAAACTGTCCTTTTCCATGGGCCCTCAACATAGAACAAGTAAAACATTTTAAATAAATTTAACCTAACTATATCTAAAAAAATACACTTCAATTCACCCATGGATCTAACAGACTTCAAAATCAAGAGAAAATATTTTTTAAATATATTTATTTAGCCTTGGCCGGTGGCTAGGTTGGCTGGAGCATTGTACTGTACACCAAAAGGATGCAGGTTTCATTCCTGGTCAGGGCACATACCAAGGTTGCGGGTTTGATCCCCTATCAGGTTGCATATGGGAGGCAACCAATTGGTGTTCCTCACATCGATGTTTCTATCTATCTCCCTTTCTGTCTCTAAAAATCAATAAAAACATTCTCAGATGTGGATTGAAATAAATAAATAGCCAATGCTCTAAAAAAAGAATTATCAAATTTATTGGGGGACATTAATAAAACTATACAGCTTTGAAATACACATTTCTACAATATATCATCTGTATATTGTATTTTGTGTTTACCACCCCAAGTCAAGTCTCCTTCCATCACCATTTATCCCTCATTTACCCTCTTCTACCTCCCCCATCCCCCTTCCTTCTGGCAATCACCATACTGTTTTCTGTGTTCATGAGTCTTTTTTTTCTTTGCTTACTCCCTTCACCCTTCAAATTTATTGGGGGACATTAATAAAATTATACAGCTTTGAAATACACATTTCTACAATATATCATCTGTATATTGTATTTTGTGTTTACCACCACAAGTCAAGTCTCCTTCTATCACCATTTATCCCTCATTTACCCTCTTCTACCTCCCCCATCCCCCTTCCTTCTGGCAATCACCATACTGTTTTCTGTGTTCATGAGTCTTTTTTTTCTTTGCTTACTCCCTTCACCCTCCTCACCCAGCCCTCAACAACTTCGTCTCCAACACCCATCAGTGTGCTCTCTATACCCATGAGTCTGTCTCCATCCACTCTGTTCGTTTATATTGTTCATGAGATTCCACATATAAGTGAAATCATATGATATTTGTCTTTCTCTGACTGGCTTATTTCACTTATAATACTCTCAAGGTCCATCCGTGCTATCACAAAGAATAAGATTTCCTTCTTTTTTATGGCGGAGTAATATTCCATTGTATAAATGTACCACAGCTTTTTTTAAATTGAATTTATTGGGATGACAGTGGTTAACAAAATTATATAGGTTTCAGGTACACTATTCTACATATATTATCTACATATTGAATTGTGTGCTTACCACTCCTAAAAAATATTTTTTACTTAAAAGTTTAAATTAAGATTAATACTCTCAAGGTCCATCTGTGCTGTCACAAAGAATAAGATTTCCTTCTTTTTTATGGCTGAGTAATATTCCATTGTATAAATGTACCACAGCTTTTTTTAAATTGAATTTATTGGGATGACAGTGGTTAACAAAATTATATAGGTTTCAGGTACACTATTCTACATATATTATCTACATATTGAATTGTGTGCTTACCACTCCTAAAAAATATTTTTTACTTAAAAGTTTAAATTAAGATATTTTTTAAAAACATGATATCATTCAATCTTATGTATTATTGTTTAAAAAAAAACCTCATTATCTCATGTGATACATTTCTGAAAGTAATTAGTAGAAATCCACGGTCTAATGACGCACTATAAAAAGAGGTTCAATAAACATAATATATTTGCACCATTATTTATAACTTATGTTGAAAGTTTTCTGGCACATTATACATAAACTAGTGGCCCAGTGCACGAAATCTATGCACATTAAAAGGGAATTAGAGGAAATACTTTAATATTGCTATTTGCCCTTTCTCTATAATACAAGTGTCAGAGATGAAAGAAAATTAGTAAAATGTATATGAAAATCTCCCTCCTGTCAGAGTCTGGGGCACACCACAGGACCCAGAGTCAAGTCCCTGCCCACCCGCACACGCCC